ACAAGGAGACCATCCAGAAGAGTTGCAGGAGATTCTAAAGTCATCTGGAGGCTTTGTTTGAAGCAAATAACGATTTTATTCAAGAAATTTGCTCATTTTAATTTCAAGATATTTTTGTGTAATTTTGGTAAATATGTCTGTTAAAATGAGATGTCAGTGTTATTTTCATTTTTGCGCCATTTACACGACAATTTATCCATCGCACCCTGCATATCTGTTAAAATGAGATGTCAGTGTTATTTTCATTTTTGCATCATTTAGACGACAACTTATCCATCGCACCCTGGATATCTGTTAAAATGAGATGTCAGCGTTATTTTCATTTCTGCGTCATTTAGACGACAATTTATCCATCGCACCCTGGATATCTGTTAAAATGAGATGTCAGTGTCATTTTCATTTTTGTCTCATTTAGACGACAATTTATCCATCGCGCTCTGTTTGTTTTGATCGAGGTAATTTTAGTTAGTCAAGGTAAATTATGGAAGATGCTAAGTGATGTAATATAATATCAAGTAAGTAAATGATCTTGTTTAATACATAGTAATCAGTCGAAGCGCAACTTTGATCTAAAGAATACCGCACTTATTAAAAGAGGAAATGAACTTACTTAGACGGAAAATTCTGGAGAGTGCCGCCATCGAATCTTATCAAAATATAAATCTCCGCTACGGATGTTTTAAAATATCTCCATTTCTAAAAGAATTATTCCTTTCCAAAGCCAACATAGCTGACTTATAAAATATTTTAAATAAATAACGGAAAACGGTTAAATTCATAATCTTTTTACTTGAAATATATTACACATAAATTAATCCCATTACTCGAATTGTAATTTTTTTTTAAATTGCTGGTTGCGTATTTTAAAACATTAATAATAAAAAAATATAAATTAACTTGCCTCTCTTACATGCAATTTATTCCTAACATTTAATTTTTAAATTGATTATAACAGAGCGCGTTTCATGCGCATTTATAAAAAAATCACAACTATCAATTATATTATCATTTTGTCCTAGCAATTTACCCCTGAAGATAATCTTGGATGCGATCAAAAGTATTTGGGAAAATAAAAGAAATGAAAAAAAAAAACAAACTACAGCTTATTCCTTAATCAATTTAATAACAACACTGAGAAGTTGATCCGTGATTTTGAAAGAGTTAATATAAAAATGAGTAGACGTAATATTCAACCAAACATGTTTGAATTAAGATACGCTGACTATATATATATATATATATATATATATATATATATATATATATATATATATATATATATTAGATCAACCAATGACGCTACCTTGGTTTCGCTGTCCTCAAACTTATCGCCTGATGCAAACGATACGATAAAACCAAAGGTAGCTTTATTTGCTAATCTTCTAAGTTTTTTTTTAATTTCAAAGCTCTGCATGTTAAATATTTTTTATTCTTTATATATATATATATATATATATATATATATATATATATATATATATATATGTATGTATTGGTGTACATTTCAATACAAGTGTTTCCTGGTCTAATTCAACTCTGAGCAATAACTGTTTTATAATTATTATATATATATATATATATATATATATATATATATATAATATTTATATATAAAATTTAAAGGAACAGCAAATATTTTTACATATATTGCTGAATATTAAAATTATTAAAATAATATTAAAAATAAGAGCGTTAATAAATAAGAAGATTGAGATAATGGGTCGATGCCGATATATTAAACAAATATTTATTTCTTACTTTAATAATAATTAATTAATTAAAGTATTAATAATAGAATTACAACACAAAATATTATAATTTAATTAATAATAGAAATTAACAAATATTCAAATTTTATTAATAACATACCAGAATATAACAACTTTTATATAAACCATAAAAAATAATTTAATTTCAAAGTGAAATTTAATTTAGAAATAAAAAAAATCTAATTACAACTTTAAAAAAATCTACGGTTGAAAAAATACAGTAAAAATGTTCGTGAACTTGCGCGTATAAATAAACATAAAATTAATAAATACGCATGTGTAGAAAACGGAGTATAAAAACCGGACTGAAAAAGACGAGGAACGAATTGAAAAATTGGAAATATCATTTAAAACCAGAACCCCTTTGAAGAAGGGAAATTTTAGCATAACACTTCGAAGTCGGGAAAAACTGATATCTAAAAGTTAAGTAATCTGTATATATATATTAATTCTTTTGCTAAATTTATTAGAATAGACATCTTTTTCTTCTTCTTTGTGACGCGTCTATTCTACATGTGGACGATAGAGGCTCTCAACTCTCTGTACTTAGCAGCTTTTAATAAAGATTATCTTTTTGTTATATCTTCTAATACCTGTTCAGCTAACCATTTACACAAGCTCGTTAAATAGTCGACGTACTGCTTACCTCTGTCCCTCTTGCCTTCAATGTGTCATGTAAGTGTCAATTTTTCCAAGACCGCTTTCCGATGGTACATATGTGCCCTTTTTTTGTTTTGATTTTTCTCTAAAACTTCGTTGCTCACGTGTTCAATCCACGGTATTCTCAGCATCCTCCTGTATGACCACATTTCTGTTGCATGAAGTCTATCTGTGATGAGATTGTTCAGCATTCACTGCAATATATATGAATATCGATATTACATTGCAATTCAGAACTTTTCCCTCTGTTCCCAGTGGCATTTCTTAATACGTTGTTTACATTCTCAAAAACTTATATCATCATTAAACGCTACTATATTTTACATTCTAAAGTGTTTTCCTTAGTTTCAATCGGCAATACGGTCTAAGGGGTGTAAATCGCCCATGTGGAAAGGCTTTTGCACGGAGGCCTCTTCTATCTCTACAGGTTGATTGTCAATGTTACGAATAAAGATCTTCAGATTACTTTATTTGTCCACGCTATTGAGATTGATGAAAAGGACCGGTCTGAAGGAATGAGTGATCGTTCGGCCCTATTCGATTACGTGGGGCTTCAAACCAACGTAATCGAATAAAGCCTTTCGTTCATAGGTTAAAACATTTGTAAAGTTATTCGGCATGTTAACTTGGACAAGGAACAGTAACTGAAGAACAGCAATGTTATAAATAAAAATAACAAAAATGGATGAGGTGGGGGGTGTAAGAAAAAGGAAAATACAAGTAAAAAAAGAGAAAAAATAAAAAAAAATAAGTAGAGAAGAGAAAGAAAACGAGTAAATAAGCAAGTAAATAAAAAGAAAAAGAAAGAAAACGAACAGTGAAAAAGAAAGATAAAAAGGAAAAGAATACGATCAGAAGAGTGAGAAAAAACAAAGAAAAGAAAAAAAAACAATAAAAAAACAAGTAAAAAAGGAAAATAAAAATAAAGGTAAAAACAAAAAAAAACGAAAAATAAAAACATAAAAAAAGAAAATAAAAGAAAAACATAAAAAAGCAAAAAGAAAAAAAAAACTTTAAATAAACAAAGAGAAGAGGAAAAACATGAAAAACAAAGAAACATGCAAAAAAAAGAAAAAGAAAGAAAAGACAAAGAAACAGACCAAAAAAGGAAAAGCAAAAGAAGAAGAAATAACAAAAATACAATTATAATAAAAGTAAAATCAAAACACAAGGAAAAAGAATAAAAACAAGTAAAACAATAAAAAAAACAAAAACAAACAAAAAAGAAAAGGAAAACATGCAAAAACAAACAAGAAGTATACAAAAACGTGCAAAAACACAAAAAATAAGAAAGAAAAAAAAAAGATGCAAGCGAAAAAAAAAAAATAAACTCGCAAAAAGAAGCAAGAAGGAAAAAATCCATAAAAGAAAAAAAAATAGGCAAAGAAAAAAGAGAAGAAAAAACACGTAAAAAAGAAAATAAAAGAAAGACATAAAAAAGCAAAAAGCAAAAAAAAAAAACCCTAAAGAAACAAAGAGAAGAGGAAAAGCAAGAAAAACAAAGAAACATGCAAAAAAGAAAAAGAAGGAAAAGACCAAGAAACAGGCCAAAAAAGGAAAAGCAAAAGAAGAAGGAATTAAAAAAAAAAAACAACAAAAAAAACATTATAATAAAAGTAAAATCAAAACACAAGGAAAAAGAATAAAAACAAGTAAAAAAATAAAAAAAAAAAACAAACAAAAAAGAAAAGGAAAACAAGCTAAAACATGCAAAAACAAGGAAGAAATATGCAAAAACACAAAAAAAATAAGAAAGAAAAAACAAAGATACAAGCGAAAAATGAAAAAAAAAAAAACTAGCAAAAAGAAGCCAGAAGTAAAAAAAAATCCATAAAAGAAAAAAAAATAGGCAAAGAAAAAAAAAGAAGAAAAAAAAAACACATAAAAAATCAGGTGAAAAAAAGAAAAAGAAAGACAAGCAAAAAGAAATAAAAGCAATAAAGGAAAAACAAAAAGAAAAAAAAAAGGTTTATTTTTGTATCCAAGAGAGACGTAAAAAGGAAAAGGTTATTAAAACCCTTTCCTTTTCCTTCTCAATGACGACCTCTCCGGTGTGATGTAGAGCCTTTTTCTTCTTTCAATAGCGAAAGACTCGGTTAACCAAGTGCTATTTTGCCAGCCCGGATGACGGCTAAATGGTCAGGCTTGAAAGCAAAATCCAGAATAACCGCACCCACCTGCGAAATGGTAGTGCGGGATTCGGAGCGAGTGGAGGGTAGGTGGGGATTGTTCTGGTTATTTATGTAAAAGTGCAATTGATCTGAAGTCAGCTGAGAGTGATCGAACTTCTGCACTTAATTGAACACTGATTCCTCTCGATAATCAGGCAGCCAGTGTATTGACAAGATCCGGCATTACGTAATCGAATCAGATTGGCTCATTGAAAGAAGAGATTAACTTCGCGGTGGTTCTACGCTAAGGATTAAGTGGTCCCATTTCGCATTTGCTTTTAATAGTCATATCCGGAATGGTTAGGTAGATGAATAAACATTCATATATATATATATATATATATATATATATATATATATATGTTAAGAAACACGAGGAGTCAAGAAATACATCTCTACTTAGAGAAGGTGATAACATTAAACATTAAAGCAAGACTATGAAAATGAAATAAAACGGCGTGGAACGATTGGCTCGAGAGCATTTCATAAAAATGGAGCCATAATGAAAGCACCTTGCCAACATTCTTAAAACCTAAAGTGTATAATGTATGTATTATGGCAGTTATGACGGGCGTGCGTGGAAGAGGTCGAAATTAGCAAAAGCGCGTGAAAATAAATTCAGAAGCGTACAAAGAAAGATCGGTGGAAATGAAAATGCTAAGAGATTAGAAAGATGCTGACAGAGAACGAAGAACAGAGCAACGTTAGAGATAACATGCGATGGCAAAAAGAAAGGATGTTAGGAGAAGCAAGAGGTGGGTTGATCGAGATAGAGCACGTGAAATACAGGAATGAACAACACAGTTACTATTGTCATGAAAGAAATTGTAAAAGAGCTATCTCCAAGACTGGAATAATGACCTTATATATATATATATATTTATATATATGATAAACTAGGTAATCCGTATGGGTAAAACTAAGAAGGATAAAATCCAGAGAGCTCAATGTAAATCCAGAGCAAATAATTTAAATAAAAACAGACCACTTTAAGGTTCCATGTAATAATTTATTTCACCACAGCCCTTTTAAAAGGACAACGGATCATCAGACTTTACTTTGGAAATAAAGTCTGATGATCCTGATCACCAAAAGAACTAATTATAGTTTATTACATGGAACCTTAAAACAATATTTTATAATTTATATATATGGAATAGTCTTAAACGGTCTGTTTTTATTTATATATATATAATAAAAAAAACAGACCGCTTTAAGGTTCCATGTAATAAACTATAAATTAAAATTTCACCACAGCCCTTTTAAAAAGGACTGCGGATCATCAGACTTTATTTAATATATATATATATATATATATATATATATATATATATATATAAGTAATTCATTTTGGGGATTTATATATATATATATATATATATATATATATATATATATATAGGGATATATATATATATATATATATATATACATATATATATATATATATATATATATATATATATATATATATATATTGGACAATGAGGTTAACAATGAGTGGCGACATTATTCTTTCCTGAATCAACACAGTATTCAGGCGATAGCAGTTCAAACATGAAACACACAGTCGCAACAGAATTGCTTACCTCAGTTTCATCTTTTATATTTACACACGCTCTAGAGCTGATACTGAGCTCTTTTACCCCTAAATATAGTACACTTGAAAACTATATTTGTATCATATATATATATATATATATATATATATATATATATATATATATATTGAACAATAAAAATATTAAAAATTAAAATCTTCAGACACACTGAGTTGTATATTAATATTCTTTCGTTTTTATTATTATTTCAGGTACATTCCTCGACAAGTTTCGGCCAACATGACCATCATCAGGAGAAAAACAAATTTCTGTTTGCTGGTAACAGGGAACTACAGAAATGAATGACTTGATGGAGAAAATGAACTTTTGTCTGTAATTTTGATTTTTTTTTAACATGAATTTTGACCAATTCTTGTGTTGGTTAAACAGTCTCTTTTAAGTTGTTATTTACGATAAAAGCTGGGTGGATTCATGCTGCTCTGAATTCCCTTGGTTATTTTGACAATTTTATTGGTTTCTGGAAAGCGGATGTGCCCCTGTTAAGTGTGTGTGTGTTATTTAGTTCTTAGGGAGTGAGTGAGTTTGATGTGTGTAAGCGTGTATATTACTATCTGTGTGTGTTATCATTTGGATCATTAGGAGTGAGTGAGTATGATGTAAGTGTGTATATTCGTGTGGGCGTGTGTATAAGTGTTAGGCCTCAGCACCTCTGTAAGCATGTCTGTCTTGTGTGGGTGATAAATGTGGGTAGGTCCTGATATGTGGGGTTATATATCAATACTATCTATATTGTTAAATTTTTGATTAAGCCTGTCAGGATAGTGCGTTTTTAAACGTCGTATCCACTTATTTTCATGGAACTCTAAAATCTTTCTAATGTTATCTGCTCTGAACTTTTCTATTCTCTCAATTATAGTGAATTTGGCATGAGTTTTAAAATCGTGTTTTTCTAGGTAGAAATGTTGCTCTACAGGTAATAATCTTTCTTGGGGAGTCAACTTAATTCGATTGCGATAATTATTAATTCTGTAGTGGAAGGGCCATTCAAATTTTCCTACATATTGTTTCTGGCATAGTGTGCATTCTAGGAGATAAATTATGTTATGATTTCTACAAATAGATTCGTGGTAGATTGTGAAAGCAGATTTAGTGACTGAGCCAGTGAATGAATTCGTGTGTCTAATGTGGCTGCAGCATAAGCTCCTTTTGTTGTTTTTGTTTTTGATTTGTTATGAATTAACTTGAACCCTGAAATATGTTTGCTACCTATGATTTCTTTTAGGTTCTTAGGTCTACGATATGCCAGAAGACCGGGTTCCTCAAACAATTTTTTTTAGG